TAAAACTCCAAAACGGCCAGATTACACTATATTGCTAAAAGCATTTCCTCGTATGCCTTTATGAAGTTGAGGGATATCCTATTCTTAATCCATAGGGTTTGATGTTGGCCCAACCTTTGCAACCTTACACCTTGGCTCACAGTCCCCACTCATTTATACTGAAGGTGTTCTATCATGTTGAGGTCAAGACTGTCCATGTCTTTATGTTACTTGATTTGTGCACTGGTTTGCACACCAGTTGTACGCCCTTTCATTTACGACGTCTGATGATGCAGTTCTATATCTCCCTGTTCCAACATAATTGCACTTATGTTGGAACAGGGAGATATAGAACTGCATCATCAGACGTCTTAAATGAAAGGGCGTACAACATGATGTCTATAACCAAGGTTCTAGAAACTGTTAAACAAAGCTCTGGTGACTAGGATGGATTTTCTCCAAAGATCCATCCAGGGTGTACTCTAAGCCAGCGGTCCCCAACCCGGGGTATCGGCCCGGTACCGGTCTGTGAATCGTTTGGTACCGGGCCGCGAGAGTTGAGGCTCAGGTGTGAAATGTATGGTTTTCAGGGTTTTTATCGGTTTTCAGCGTTATTTTGTTATCGTTTTTATCGTTAACTCGGTTTTCCTGGGTCTTTCACATGTGCTATGAATAAATCTTCTTTTTTCATTACCGGTACTAGTTTTATTTTGTTGTATTTATCCGCGACACCTTAAAGGCCGGTCCCTGAAAATATTGTCGGGCATAAACCGGTCCGTGGCGCAAAAAAGGTTGGGGACCGCTGCTCTAAGCTACAAGAGAAAAATAGCACAGGAGCAGACCTACCCAGAGCTGAAAAAGATGTGTCACACAACACCAATGCTAAGTAACCTCCCAGCAAGAGCCAGTCAACATCACAAAGTGGACAGTGTTGGGGAGTAACGGAATACATGTGCCGACGTTACGTATTTAAAATACAAAATAAGAGTAACTGTATTCCGTTACAGTTACTGTTTAAAAAGGTGGTATTCAGAATAGTTTGTTGAATTAAAGGGATTACACAGCGGTCTTTTCCTGTTTCATTTGTTAGGCTATGCCCTCTCTATTTCTGGTAATTCCACGCCGGTGGAAACTCAAACAAAACACACAATAAGAGGCTCTAATGCATGTGTGTCAATCTCGCGGCCCATGTTACCTGTACTTGCGCCCGCATAATGATGTGAAGAAATATTTTTAAAAATTACTTTTCAACAAATTATTTATTATGAAGGCAATATGAGCAGAGTGTTACAGGCATAGCCCTGGAGAATGTAGCCTCATGGGCAGTGTAGCCCAGTTGTAAGTAAGCTGTTAAGACTCGACTGTACACTGTGTTCATGTTTTCCTCCGAAACAATAAGCTCCGTTGGAGCAGCCTTTCAACGCCTCTCTCTGTCTCTCGCTAGCAAAGTTGACCCAGACAACAAAGTAAAGCTAGTTTTCGGTTACGAGCCCGACACGGAACCCGACGTATTAGCCAGAGGTCCCTTTACTACAGTTCGGAGCCGCGGACCTGAAAAAATATGCGCGCAATAGTTTTCTATATGAGATCGCTGCAAAAGTGCAGCCTTACCTAATGTCACCCTACTGTTACTCATTTATATTAAGATTTAAAAATCTAGTTGGTATTGGTATGGCGAGTATTCTTCAGTAATAGTAAAAGATCACAGAGCAATAGTACATTCATTTAGTTGCCTACATAATTGCCTGATAATATATTAAGTAATCCAAATTATTCAGAATAAGTTACTCTAATTGAGTAACGTAACGGAATAGGTTACAAAATACATTTTGGGCATGTATTCTGTAATCAGTAGTGGAATACATTGTAAAAGTAACCTTCCCATCACTGATTGTGGAATATATCTGCTATTCCTCCTTGCACTATGTCACTTTGTCTACAAACCACTCAACCTGAGCTGTCCCTAGAATTTACTAACTTTCAGTCCCAATGAAAATCTTAACATCTTCATTACTCTACCACTACCAGCTTGGCCTCCTATCTGTTTGTCACTGTGTCTTAACCATACATAGCAAGTCTCGCGAACATCTCATAAACTTCCCATTCACTATCCTTCTGTAACAAATCAGCCCTGACATTTGTCTCTAACAGCTCCCCCCATTTGCACACTCTTCTTCACCTCTCCTCAACACTGCTTCTGTTGCCTGGAATTTATCCCAGGTACTTAAAATAATCTACCTACATTATCTAAACTCTATATTTTAATAGTACAATCAGCAGAGTCTTTATTTATCCAGGTAATGTTTTACACATTCAGTATTCAGTCTCTCTACTAGTCCTTTTACAGCAACATTACATGTAGCACCATGGCAAATCATTATTCTGTATTATACTGTATTACAGTATCTAATGGTTACATTAACAAGTAAACAGTAAACCTACTGGTAGTTTTTACATGGTTGAGCCAAAGAAATGTCTCAATGATTCTGAAAGGACAAGGTTTCTTTAAGCATCTTAATGCAAAATTTTGGACACTGGACAAGCTGTGCTACAAGCAGAGACAGTTTTAAGTTTGACATCTAGAGCTTTGAAAAACATCTACAGCAGGTTTTCAGAACAACAGCTCACCTTTGCACTGCAGGCCCTGCCTGAAGAGGCCTTTGAGCAGCTTCTTGCAGTGCTGGCAGACAGTAGGCCGGGTGTAAGAGTGAATCAGGAATGTGTGGGGAACTTTGACTTTTGACAGTAAGATCTTGTCAAGCTCAATGGGACGGCCAACATATGATTGTGAGCTGGATCGCCGCTCTCTACCAGGAAAGTAATCTAACTGGTTCTTCTGCTGTTGGGAGAAACAAGCAAAGCATTTCAAAGTTTTTCATACGTTTCTAGTTTTTGCCAGTGGACCTGTTTTCCATGATAAGTCACACTTAAAATGATTTTTTATGGCAGCAGATTTAGAGTTTGGTTTCTCAGCTCTGGGGTTACCGTTGCCTGCAAGAACTATATGATAAATAGACTAACAGATGGGAGAATGAATTGCACAGTATAATTTAACTTGGCTGCCTGTATTTCTATGTAAAAAGATGGAGGACTTACCTCCATGCTAGGACTGACTGGAGACTGGACAACAAAAAAAGAACAAAAAAAGTTACTTCAACATTTCTGAAAAACTGTGTTCCACAGGTCTGTGCTTTTGTACTGACCAATAAAGCATCATCACTGTAGTGGGGAGGTGAAGGCTCAGCAGAGAGCGGACGCCCGGTGTTGATTATCCCGCCTGTCAATGAGACATTGGAGGGACGACGCCTCCTCACCCCGCTGCAGTTGTTGGGGATCTTAAAGGCACAGCGCTTGTGGTAATTCAGACCACAACCTGGAGAATAGGATAGTGTCTCTTTTTAAAATTTTACCTCAGCCATAATGTTCTCATGATTTCATCTTATGGGAGTAGGATATTTTACCTTCACATTTAAGTCCTTGGCGTACAAGTCCCCACAGCATTTCCCACAGTGGTCGCAGAAGGCTGGAGCTCGGTACGAATGGACAAACAGGCAGTGTGGACGAATCTGGAAGTCCTCTACTGTGGCTGAAGCTGTAGAAATTATAAGATATAAATGAATTCCAACTACAAGTTTTTGTGTCTGTCAAGTAAGGTTATATGTGTACTAGGGGGTTGATGCACTTAAAAGAGTTGTAGTTGCACTTATTGAAAACTGAAAAAAGTTTAAGTGTAAGTAATAAAATGAAGTATAGAAGGGTCAGCTGAAATGTAAATCTGAAATAAAAGCAATGACTTGAGCTTAAATTTCAGGTAAAGTGTAGTGATGGGATTTCCGGATCTTTTTAGAGAACCGGCTCTTTCGGCTCGGCTCACTAAAAAGAGCTGGCTCTTTCGGCTCCCAACTGGCTCTTCAGGTTGTTTTGTTGCTTTAATTAATTAATTATTGACAACAATATAAAATTATTCACAAAAGGAATTACTAATGTAAAAAAAGTGGTTTTATTTATATGTTTATATATAATATATACGGTGGCCCCAGAGAAAAACACGTACAAACTCCAAAACACATTTCTAGCGTTAACTGAACTTCCAAAACAGAGCTACCTAGATCACTTAAATTACACAATTGAAAGCATATGTGTATTGTTTGTGTATTTATACACAAGCACTCATATGTATTCAAATAATTTAAAAAAAATGTTAATTTTTGTTACTACCACACACCAAATCCGGTCGTTGATACTTCCTGGCTTGTGTGGCCACTAGGTAACAAAGCTCAACACTGCCCCTAGCATCCTGGAGCACTTCTGTTGTGTTTTGGAGTTTTTACGTGATTTGGAGTTTTTACATGTTTTGAAGTTTTGTGCTTTGTCTCGAGGGGCCACCGTAAATATACTTTTATTTATTCACTCCACATAAAATTTAATAAATAAATCGTATAATACAAAAACCAACTATTTACATTTCAACTTTAACTATTTAAATTTTCAGCTTTTCCTTTAACAATTTAAAGTGAAACACACAAAACACTGCAAAAACAAACACAATTAAATATAAATATAAAAATATGAAAACAAAAAGAACATGCACATTCTTGTCATATGGGCCTGCATGAATAAACTTTCTGAATCCTTTATCATCTGCAACTGAAAATAGTTGCGGATGATTACTATACCTTTCTAATGTGACGTTGTTGTCCCTGGCTCTTTCTCTCTCTCTCCCTCCCGCTCTGTTCCTGTGCTACTGCGAGTGTAACTACCGCCCCTCCCCCTCTGCCCAGCGCAAAGCACAAGGCTCGTGTACGGAGTGAAGCGGGAAAAAGTGAGAGAGAGGAGGTGAGAGAAAGGAAAAAAACCCATGGCTCCCAAAAGGAGTCGGCTCGTGTTGTCCATGTCAAAGTGTCTAAGAGCCGTTTCGTTCCCCATCACCAGTAAAGTGTAAACATGACAAAAACTTTAGGGCAGCTGGTGCTCAGGAGGTGGCAAAAGTTGTTCACTATTCAGAAGATCGGTGGTTTTAGTCCCTGACACTTACAGTGCACACATCAAATTGTCCTCAGGCAAGTAGAACCTCAAATTGCACTTGTGAGGGTAACACATTACACACTAATGAATGGCTGTACATATGCATCAGAAATCATATTACAAAAGTTTTTCAAATATTTGCAAAACAAAACATTACGTGAAATGTAAGTGCTTAAGAAACTGAAATGTCAGTACACACTGTACTTTCATATTTGTGTTGAACTGTTTCAGTTAAAAATAAAGGTTAAAAAAAGAATAAATTATTCTTTCTTAAACATTGTTTACTTCTTTGTGTATTAACTAAGGAAGTAAAAGTGGCAGTTAAAAAAGAACTGCAGATAAACCTGGAGATTCATTAAAACATGGGTTAAGAGTCACTTGAAAACATATAACACAACATAAAATGTAAAACTCGGAGAAGTGGAAAAGTGAAGACAAATGGTGTGTGAATGCACTGAAATTAATGGGGTTTAATCATAAGAAGCTGAAATGTGAGCTGGACTGTACGCTGTTACATCACCTGAAATCCATTTTCACATGTCAGCTATGAAGTTTGCAGTTGAAGAGAAAGTGTCACTTCAAATGAAGGATAAGCATAATTTTTTAAAGGGATTTCTACGATAACGACCTGAGATGTACCTGAGTCAGTGTAAGTGGACATTATACATTATACACACACTAAATGTGATGTTGTCTGCCAAAGTGTCATTAGACATATCAGCAGTGAAAGCAGCTGAAGTGTTGCATGAAATGAAAAAGTGTACTGTTCTTTAACAAACACGTTGCAGTATTTAGTGATGAATTTTAGCGATGAACTTACTACTGTATTGTACCGTAACTATCAATACTCATGATACGTAGTAAAATTATGTTCAGTGGTTTAGTGTAAGGACTGGGAGCAGTTACAGTACATTTTGAAACTCCATTTCTGACATTATACATATGAGTCATTCCACATTTCAATAAACAGATGAAACCCTTTTATACACATTGCTCTATGGTGTACTTGAGAGTTCAAATGCACTGCAACTTAGGAAAACACCAGCAAATAGAAAAATGCTGCAAAAGCACACAAATCACAACAAAAGTTAAATCAAAAAGTTGGATCAATAAAAGTAACTTTCAGCAAAATCTCACAAAACACAACTTAAAGAAAGTGACGAAAGGATTACACTGATACATGGTTAAGAAAAGCAGAAGCTTCATCAGTGTTGTAAGAAGCTGTTTAGTATTAGCTTGTCATTTCCACAACTGTTTCGTCATGTTATTGTCTCACCTAAAACACTTCTGTTGTGTTTTTTTAAGGTTTTTTTTAAACTATGTGGTGTTTTTTTTCTTTTATTCAGCTTCCTTTTTTTTTTTTCTTATTTCCAATGATTTTATTCAACTTCCATTTTCTTTAATGTCCTTCTACAGCATTTCTATTTGATGGTGTTGCAGTGCATCTGAACTGTCACCAAAACATTAGTTTTTCCGACTTGAGAACACTCCATAAAGTTATGAGCAATTTTCCCACTTAAAGGATAACAATATTCAAATCAAGGAAAACTGAAAGTGAAAAATAAGAACATTCCAACATAATAGCAATCCTGAATGTTAGACTTTTAATCACTGCTGACAAACCAATCTGTGGCACCATATTTTCCTCCACATTTTCCAGTGTTTCTCCATGCTTTTAATTTTATTTCAGAGATGAGCAGCTGCTTATCTGGGTTGACTGGGCTCTTGGCCACAGCAGCCATCTGAGCCCAAATATCCTCCAGCTGTTTTGACAAAAACCCAGTTGGGTGTACAGGCAGTGCCGATAACCCCTGCTGTGACACTCGTAATGTCAAACAAAGAATCAGTTTTTTTTTTTATAATATCACAAAAACAAACAAAAAAAAAAGACAATGAAAACAGGGGCAAAGTGAATGGGATTTCTGGTAGAAACAGCTACTGACTCTGCAGCTTTACATTTAAAGTTTTTAAATAGAAAGCATTAAAGCTCACTTTGTACTACAGTCATTGGCACCAAACTACTGATTCAGACTTAGAACTGGCATGTGTAGCTCCAAAGGAGTTTGGTAGTAATTCAAAAAAAGAAATTAAAACAGAGCGCAATTTAAGGAATGCAAACTTTAGTCAGTAGCTGCTGAGTCTACAAACAGCCAACTTTGGCCAATCAGCTCAACATAAAAACTAGAAAAATGTAATTGTAATATTTACAACTTGTTTTTGCCTATTTATTGGATTAAATATGTGGGTGAGAAATGTGAAAAGAAAGTCTCAGAAATAAAGAAAAAGAAATACTGAAAAAAGATAAACCAGATAAACCAGAAACATTTACCACTCAGATTTTATTTTATTTTACTTTTGTACTTCTGTCAAAGCTTCATGGGTAACTGAGATTACCCATGAACTGGGATTAATAGTTACTTATAGTTTAGACTCCATTAAATTTCTTGTTTCTTTGATTTCTTTTGACATCTGATATTTTTTGATTTTGGAGCATGTACAAAGTTTTACTTTTAGTGTTCTTATACATTTGAGAAAAAGACAAGCCACATTTCTAAAGCTTGTTTCATGCTAGACCTTATTCACATATCTTCACATTAAACCTTTTTTTAAGGATTGAGTGGGTGTGTAAAGCCTGTGCTTGATTAACATTTCCCATTACACCTGTTAGGGTGGAAAAATGTTTATCGTTATTTAGATTGTTAACGCCTGTTGGCTCAAAGAGTATAGGAACTTTGACATTTTCGTATTAGATTGTATTTTACAAAAAGTTAACACATATTTTTGAAACTTGTTATACAAGTCAGATTCCCAACTAAGAAAATAAAAATTTCCTGTAAATAACGTAGTTGATAAAATAGATATTTATTTATTTAGATGTGTCAAATTAATATGATAATAATAGCGTTGCATTTGCCACACTGACTGGGAAAAAAAAAGAATACATTTAAACCTAGAAACACTGAGGCAGTCAATGCGACCCTGATAGAAATCCATGTAAAATGCTGGGTTTAACATGCACCCCTGATAGTGTAGCAAAACATGATATAACAGGAGCCATAAGTAAATATATAGGGGCTGTGGTAAAAGATGAAAAAACCTAGCCAACTTAATTGTGTCTTCTTGCTTGACTTTCTCAATGTTTGTACAAACCAAATTCAACAAATTCCTACTTTAAGTTGATGAGATAATAGGTATTATGGTGTTATCATAGTAAACTCCAATAATCTATTTTCTAATCTGTTGTCTATTAGTTTTAATACTATCAGTGTAAATTGGCAGCAAAT